TCCCTCCTAAAGTCCTTAGACTGTGTTTGTCAAAGTAGCCGTAAAAATTACTGTCGATTTTCGACTTGCATGCGTTTATGCCGACACATGTCCACACCCATGTCGGTGGTCAGATGGCATTACGCCGATACATGAGATCGGCAAAAAGCTCTGGCAAAATGTCAGCACAAGCAGACGTCCGAGACCCATGATATCGACTAAACTCTTGGACAATGACAACAAGCTGATAGCTGCGCCTGAACCCGAAACCCCCTCAACCCGCAGACCCTGACCCACTCCAAACCGAAACCCGCAACCCTAAACCTAAATTTGACCTAAGTTAAATCTCCACACCCTCAACCCGACCATCAGTCAGGAAACTCTAGTCCCAAAGCCCTCAGCCCCAAACCTCATCTCCGAAATTCTCAACCCTGAACTTCTCGGATTTGCGGATGAAGAGATGAAGCGCAACAAGTTTGCACAAGGCCGTCAGCGCATGCTTGCCCAAGTAGCTTAGCAGGACAGCACCATCCAGAACAACCAGGTGCCCCTGGCGGTGGCAGCTCGCCACCTGGAGACGGAGAGTCACAAGGCTGCTGACAAAAAGCAATGCCACGCTCAATCTGGAGGCATCAATGTTCCCCGCTGTCGGGCAGAATGTCGAGTGAAACTTGCACTCGTTGCAATATGAAACCATTTGTCGTATGTACAGTCAGCCTTGCGCGTAGAGGAGTCCGCCGCCGGCTTATACTGTTGCTTGTCAAGCTTACTTATGATACACATTGTCATGGCGGACTTGAGTCAGAAACCCGCAAGGCTGCTCCGACCGGTTGCATTCGTCCAGGCCCCAACTGCTTGGATGATTCTTTTTGCTGTGCGATCCCCAACACGATTATCATCCTATCTTATCCTGCTGTATTCGACGATCCTTGCCTCGGAGTTTGTTCCAGAAAGTGCAGAGAACATGCAATGTAGACGCCTGCATGTTGCTATGTCGACTTGCTCACCTTGGCATGTGCGCCCCTCACAAGTGGGCTCAGCCAGCTTTGCTACACAACCTGGTCCAGAGCAGGTAAAGCTGCCACCATCACCCAGCTCGGATCTTACTCGATCAGAATCAACGCGAAGCATGCGCAATCTGAGTTGCAATAAGCGGCATGAATGCTGAGCTTCCCGGACTTGATGTCCTCAGCTGGCTCGTCAACGGCTCAAGTCTACTTCGTGCGACTACGCATGTAAGCTGGACAGAGCTGCCGCACGCGCACGACCATGCCAGAGATATGCCACAGAAAGACCGTACCACCAGGTAGCCCTCAAAGTTGTTCCGAGACACTCTTTGCTTAACGACCTCCTCGTAGCCATCCTGCGCTCGAAGGAACACGACGTGATACATGCCACTGGCGCGTGATCTCTGGCAGAAGCGGATGTTAAAAAGGTTGTCCTTCTCGTGCTGTATCTTGAGGCCCTTTTCCTCGATTCCCACGATGCGCACAGCATACTGGCCTGTGCGAGTCACAGGTCGCCAAACTGCATCCACGTTCATCCGAGCAAGATCACTTCAAGGCCAGAAAGTTGACCGGTGCTCAGGCCTTTGTGATCTCCGTACTTGACGTTGAGAGATGCCCGATCACCCACCTTCAACTCGCTCTTCTTCACGTACTCCTCGCGGGTTCAGAGAAAAAGCCCGCTCCCCGGCTCTAAGGGTCCAACCCAACCCCGCCCGCCCCCAATATCGGAGCCTAGGCCTATATAGCTTATGTAAAGTGTGAGACACAAAAAAAAGAGAAAGCGAATCTGAGCCACGTGGCCGGTGGTTCCGCCGGAGGGCGTCTTGCGGCTTCCTTCTGCTGCATTGCCAGCAGAGCCTCTCCAGCTCCGGGCTCCAGACGAGGCTGCACACCTGGATGCTGTACACCAGGCCTTGTTCTGCTCTTTGATCTGCTTCTTCGTCAGCCTGCACCAATTCAACCGATCATGCAAGACAAGATAAAAGAGGCGGAACACGCCCGCTAGGCCGACTCAACTGGGGAATTGCATTGAAATCCAGACACACACACACACACGCACTTCTGCTCGTTGAGACATATACACGACTCGCGCAACTGAACGCAGAGCGCCTCACTTCGTTGACTTCACAAAGCGTGTCTTCCAGCGGTCGAAGTTGAGGCAGACGTTCCGGAGCCTGTCCCATTCCGACAAAGGGCTGGCCCGGGCACTCATCACTACATGTATGAACCGCCTGGTGTGGCCTGACCTTCCTTCAAACCCTAAACCCTAAAGGCCCTAAACCCCTCAAAGGCTTACTTATTGCTGCCTCGCACGCATCTTCGGCGCCATGACCTCAGCTCGGTCTGGACAAAGCGCAGTAGGAATTTCACCTACAGTCTTGCAATTGAGCTGCCCCAGCTTATGCGCTTCGCTTGCCGCACAGGGTAGGGCTCGTCCCATATCTCGTCCAGAAAATCAGCCTTCAGGGCTCTCCAACTCCCTCAAGGGCAGCAAAGCTGACCATGCAAAGAAAGCCAAGGCACCATCTCACGTCGCATGTCCGGGATGTTCAGGAAAACGGAAGCGGAAGCCTTGGCTGCAGCAGCCCATGTCGCTACAGGGCTGTTTCTGGTCTTCTGCGAGCATAGGGCATTGCTGCCTTTGCCGCCTTTGGACACGTCTGCCGGCAGAAGGGCCTAGCAGATCCCAGGACAGAACTTGCTTGGCATCTATTTCAACACATATTCCCCCGGCAACAAATGCTTCTTCAACACTTAAGCCTTAATGTCCATGCCGAAGCCTCCCGGATCTTGGTGCGCAGAATGTTGGACTTCCGAAGCACTTCCCCGGTAATGGTCTCGGGTGGCAGCTGGATCTCCATGTGCAGTAAGCGAACTGCCTCATAGCAATCAGGCTTATTCAAGAAGGGTACAAGTACAAAAGGCTCCAGACAGAGAGTCATACAAGCAAGGCCATTCGCACACAGAGCTCGGGGGCTTGCGTGGATTTCGTGGGTCTGTCCGTTGAAGCCCCACCTTGGCTGAAGGCCAAGGGCTCAGATAAAAACAAGGCCTGCTCCCCTTTTGCATCTGGGAGACTGAAGCTTCCATCTTCCCGGATCCAAGGTCGGAAGCAAGAAAGGGAAGTAGTTCATTCCCAAAACCTGACATGACGTCGTGATGCTTGAGAGTTGGGCCACTTTGCCTGCTGCATGTGTGCTGCGTGGCTCCGTGAATGCGCAAAAACATCAGCGAGGCGAATTCATGCAAACCTCAATCTCTGCTATTCGAGTTTCGACTGGTTTCTGGCTATGTCTCCTATATCATACAAGGCAAAGCCACGGTCACGCCCGCCACAAGCGCAGTTTGCCCGGACCTTGCTCATACACGGTGGCTGATGTGGTCCGGAGATCCGCTGTCCCTTTGCTACAGTTTCCCGGCACTCCTTCTGCCGAGGCACTCCAGGCCTTAGCCAAAGTCTCACACTAGCGAAGCTCCGAAGTTCATCGATATCTTGGAGTCTACTTTCAGAGACTCTCAGCCCAGGGCCTTGGATTGAAGCACACACCTCAGACTGGGGAGCCACTGCACAAATGTGCGGTGCTGATTTGTGTGACCTTCCTGCAGCCCTGGGCGTTTCCATCATAGTTCTTGCCGGGACACTGCAAGGTGCTCCCTTGCTGGTGTGAGCTCTGGGCGCACATCGCAGGCGAAGCCCAGCGGATTCCGCCTTGGGCATCTCGTTTCGCAGCTGGGTTCTACAGCGTTTCAGAAGAAGCCAGCAGACATGGTGAAGGCCAACTCGGGCTGACACAACACACGCCTATAGATGGTTGATACAACTGGCTGAGAGCTGGTACCAGGCCGGACGGCAATCGGCGGTCGGGTCACAAGGCGCAGAATTGGTCCGGAACTACCCAAACGTACAAGAATAAGTAGAACCATGCGCATCTCGAGGACTGCTACTGATGCTCTCCCCTGAAATCGTGACCGCCAGTTTCCTTGTAGACAGAGCTGGAAAGTTGAAGGTGAATTCGATGCATCAACAGATTATATGACGTTTTGCAACGCTTTCTTTCGGTCCAAAAAATGGTCTAGGTTGCAAAGGCTTGGATGTTTAGCATTATCACTTTCCAAGCCTTTCGGCAGATGCCTTCATTTACCTCGAGGACGCATCTGAGCAATATGCCTATCGTCGGCGAACGTTTGCAGGTCTTCCTGGCTGCCGCTGCCGTGACTGTCGCTATAAGCCGTGACTCTGACGGGTCGTGCTCCCGACCACAGACCCCCAGCTTTCGCAGCTGGCCGCAGTTCCCGACATATTCTCCACACAGAAACGGCTCTTGGTGCAATCGGCTCTGCCAATGCTCCTTCTTTCTGTTCTATTCACGTGTGTTTGGCAGAAGGTGAGGGTCCCACCAATCTGGCATGGCCTGCACCTGTGTCAGCGACAGAGGACGCTGCTAGGATTCCATTTTATCCACGGCAGCTGTGCCTTGCCAGGCTTCTTGATAAGCTCTTCGCCCTCGGACCGCTCGCTGCATTGGAGGACGTCCCAAGTAAGGAGGAACGGCTGGATCTGGACACAGGCGACACGAGCGGTCTTCTGAAACACTTCACGTCAAGCAGAGGATCCGACCGGTCGAACGATCTCCAAGACTTCCTCGCTTTCTGATCCGCCTGGAACAGAAAGACCCTTTTCCAAAGTAGACCAGCTTCCACCGAACCACCTATTGGGTTCCAGTCATGTCAGCTTGACAACAACTGGATGCGCGACCCGGCCGACCTGCATGAAGCAAGCACTCCACGTTGAATCTCCACCGGCCCGCGCTGAACTGGTGGCATCGGTGGACCTGGCATCGCACGGTGGAATTGTGCAATGGGGCGGTTTGGACGGCTTCGGCTTGGAGTCTTTCCGTCGTTCAGGGTTCAGCTCGTATCTTCCCCGAAAGGAAAGGCTCCGCCGCTCCCGCAAAAACTCGCACAGGTCCAGTCTCGAAAGAGTATAGTGGCACGTTCAGATGCGTTCCCGCTGATGCGAACGCACATGGCTTGTCATGTGACATGCCTGAGGCAGGGCATCGTTGAGAATGTTCTCTGGCCCTTGCCTCGCAAGCGGGTGAGCCGCTGCCCACAGGCAGTTCGCGACTCTTGCGTTGTGTCTGGGCACCCGGCCGAGCTTTGTCAGGTCCGCCTTTCTTCTTGCCAACCTTGGCAGCGAGACAGGGAACGACACTTCTCTCTGCATCAGCCAAGGAAGAGCCCGAGCAACGGGCGAAATCGAGGTAGAGGACCTTCTCCCAGTCATCCCAAAATGTCCTGCAACAGCACAACCTTGCCTTCAAACGGCCCAGTCGATCAGCTTTGGCATCCTCTTTGCTGCTTCGCCACAAAGCGCTTGGCAAAGCCTACAAGGCCAAAAGCTTCGCTGGAAGGCAACACGGACAAACTGCGGTGAAGTCAGCCTCTGTATATTTTCTTGGGTGGCATCCTCGTCTCCCTTGTCCCGAAGCTTCGTGGGTGGCTGCATGATGCAAACAGTGCCGGAATAGTCCAGCTTCTGCTCTGCCATTCTCGCCACCATCTGCTCCTGACCCAGTATCTCTCCAAGTGCTCAGGCGCATTCGCCCTCTGGTCCTCCTTCCTCTTCTTGCCGCAGCTGGCATCCCAGCGCGGCTTTAAATGAAAAAGCAGCTGGTCGCTGAAACTGAGCGCCAAAAGCGCGCCTCGGTGCAACGCCGTGTGCCAGGACCTACGGTGTTGCGGCTGCCACATCGTGTGATATTGTCTGAGCGCCGTTCGCATTAACTTGATGTCTTGACAGAAAAGCTTGCTGTACCTTCAGTTCAGGCAAAGGCAACGGAGGCGAAAAAAAACAGCACAGGCGAGCCTCAGGACTGAAGAGACATCGTGCGGAATTAGACCCACTGATATTCAGCGATGATACACAGAGTCTGATGGAAAATTGCAGGTCGTGATCTCCTCGCGCGGGTCCACTTTGAAGCACATGGTTGCCAGGAAGTGCTGCACGGAGGTGTGCCCCAGCGTGCCGGGCTTCAGAAGCTTGAGCAGTCGCGTGGACAAGTCCACGGCTTCAGTCGCCACCTCCGCTCCGTCCGAAACGTCGTGAGATCAACAATCCGAGAGGGTTGAAGCCAAGTTTGCCAAGTGCCAGCAGGGAGCTGCTTCGAGCTTTTTCGGGACCACGTTCCAGGTCCTTGAAAAGGGTCCCATTGCCTTCCCTCTCGGAGCTCCTCAGTCAAAGTCAGAGTCACAGTTCACGAAGGCACCGGGCCAGGGAAGAAAGCGGGGGAGGTCCTGCATCCACCCAGTGCATGAAGAGCTCCCGCAGCATCAGCGGCTCGGAGTGACGCCCCGCGTCGCAACGTAGCCGGGCATCAAAGGAGCGCTCCAGCTTCCGGCAGTACTCACGCTCGTCCTGAAGACAGGAAACACACGCAGACGCACAGGCTGCCCATAGCCTGCCCATAGCTGCGCAGGGAAGGTCCTTCAGCAACAGCAGCGTGGGAGCCGCAAACGGATCTGCCGCTGTAATGGCGGCCACCATGGCAATGGCATCTGGGGCGCAGTTCAGCATCCTCGGAGCCCAGGCAAAGGCCAGGTTTCAAGGGACTGGGACTGTGAGAGATGCGAAGCCTTTGGCCGCCAAGGTTCAACCCAAAGTAAATCAATCTGCAGAGCCGCAGCTCACAGGGTATGGCCATGCAAATGTGTCCCAACGGTGTGATCAAGGCCTCCTGGCAGAGAAGTGTCTACGAGTAGCTGCAGTCGCCTTTGAGAACTGCCCATGGGGTACGGAGACTGTCCTCGTGATTGCTGTCCACGGCACCCACGTCGGAGAGCTCGGTGATTGCAGCTTCGACCAATTCTGTCGCTGGAGGTGAGACGAGCTGTTTCAGCAGGACGGTAGGGGAGGTGAGTTGCACATCAATCCTTAGCTTGCCGATAGCCGGAGCACGGCACGGAAAGGGAGACCCTGACCCCAAAAGCCCCGACGCAAAAGCTCCAGTCAAGTCCTTCACCAAGATGCCCTTTGGGAATGATGCCCTTCTGCTGGATGTGCTTAAGCTTGATACAGAGCTGCTTCGCCTGCAGGAAGAGCTTCGTCAGCGGAGCACTGAGCATGTCTGGCGGATCGAACTCGATCATCTCCTGGGCAGCGGAGCTCTGAGAACTCCACTTCGGAAATCGGGCTTCGCTCGAGGCGTGCGAGAAAGACTCTGCGGGGTCAGGCGCTGTGGACGGTTCTGGGGTGAAGTGATGTAAAGGGGCGAAGCAGCAAAGGCAGAAGCACCGGGAACGACTCGGTCGTTACGAGGGAGACCCCAAGAGCTTGCCGCACGTTTCGGGCGAGCGTCATCCTCGAAGAAGGCGCGGGTCACCATGCCTGAGCAGCACTCGGCACATGGTAGGTTTGGGACCGAGAGGTGCATTTGCTTCCAAACTTTCTGCCAGGCGGCGCACCGCACGACCTGGCATGGTGCGCCCAGCTCGCCCGGATCGCTGCTTGCAGCTAGACTGGGAACACCATGTGGTGACCAAGCATGAGATAAGCCTCCACAGCAGCTGAAGTTGCTGCTAATGTTTCAGAGTTTCGGCAACACGCTGGGCCCAGCTAGAGACCAATGTCAAATGATGACAACCCTGAGTTCTAAACCCGAAACCCTAAACCCAAATATTCTTGGAACTTGCAGCGCCGTTCCAGTTCTCAAGACCGACGAGATTAAGCTGTATGACTTTGTAAGCACAGCCAGCTCCTGCAGCCTAACATGCATTTATATGCATTTCCCACAAGGCCTGCGGGGATCATATTCAAGCGATCTCCGCAGTGACATGTCAATGACACCGGATACCGACGGCCTCAGTGCAATATTGCACCAGCTGGGCCTTTGAGGCATCGACCTCTCTGGGATGCTTGATTTGCGGCGAAGTGGCAGCGTCAGGGAACTCTCCGCCACGTTGGAGGCAAGCACGACGTGGCATGTGCCGGCTGGCGGAGGTCGGAAAACTTCCTCTTGCTCCTGGCATGTGCGAATTTCTGCACAATGTACGAACGGGATCAAGAGTCTAGCCTCACGAGGTATCATTGAGTGCATGGCGAAGATCCTGCAAAAGACACAAGGCAGGGCATGTCTGCGATGCTCCTTCTTTCCCGCCTCAAGGCCAAACCTCTGCCTTGCTCGCGAGACTCCAGCGGAGAGAGAGTCTCGTAGAAGGCCGTGATGTCGGCAATGCCCGGCAAGAAGACCACTAACCTCTGCCCAAAATATCGCCGCAGTCTTGGGCCGTGCTCCGCACAGTCGTCTAGTGTCTGCCCAGCAACGTGCACTTGTCCTGGGCCATCTGCTGCACAAGCTCCTGCACTCAAGAAGGGGAGGTCGAACGAAACGCCTGCTGCAGACTGCATCGCACCATACCGCACCTTGCAGACCCAGTCCAAGCCCTCCACGAGCTTCGGCTCCGAGCGGAGGAAGCCCGAAGCCGCTCCGTCAATGCCTTTGCAGGCTGAGCTCTGCCCCTGAGCTGAGCTTCTCTAAGTCTCAGTAGGCCAGTAGGCCCCAGGCCACGATCGCCTTTCTTTCCCTTGCTCTTCCCCTAGCGCCACAATGTGCGAGCGCTCTGAAACTGCTTGCGCCTCGGACGGAGGCAATGGCCTTAGCCTTGCCACCCTTGCTGAAACCTTCTAGGGCGATCTCAAGCCCATGACCTCAGGTCCACGTGATGAAACTACCGATTGTGCGCAGTGCCGTAATTCTCAGACTCTGACGCGCTTGGCCGCCAGCGATTTGGAAGTGTGCCTGAAAAGTCTGATTGGGCACTCAAACTCAAAAGACTCGGGCTTCTCGAGAAGATTCACCACGTGAACGGGCCAGTCTTGCGCGACTTCTTCTCCCCCCATGCACAGAGCTGCTGCCTCCAGTTCGTCAAGAAAGATCACATCCACGGGAAAAGTTCCTGGACATCAAAACAGGTTGAGCTATCTGGGTGCAACCTTCGCTCCACTTTCAACACTCATGAACCGAGTCAAGCTTCGAACGCCGACAAACAGGGGCTTCCTGAGGTTGCTCACGCGAGCATGATCACAGATTGCAGAATAGATCGCCGGTGTATGCGTGTCCATGTCTGCACTACACTTGTTCCAATTCAAACCAAACTATCTTTCATATCACCTGCTTCATGCTTCCATCCTACTTCTATTGCTCGTCCTAGTACGAACCATAGTCAGGAACATAAGAATATTACCACTGCTGCAGCCTACTACTACTACTACCCAGCACCAAGTAGTTTAGTACTTGTGGCATGAGCGCCCGCAGCGGTGGTAGCAGCCGCAGGGTGGAGATAACCACTGTCGCATGACTTAGATGACTGGTCCAGTTACTTCGGTTGCGAAGTTACTGCTGGACTTGTTGTTCAGTTGCTTAATGTCCATAACGCTGTGATCGTCTTTGTTGTCACTGTTGGCAGCAGCAGCAGCAGCAGCAGCGGCGCCGGCGGCGGCAGCGGCGGCAGCAGCAGCGGCACGGAAGCAGCGGCAGCAGCTGCCGTGCAGCAAGGGACGAAGTAGCAGGTTGAACTGCTGCTCTTGTCATTGGAGTTTGGTGGCAATGCCGCCGACAGAGGCCGCCGACAGAGGCTTGTCGGTTTGGAGAGCTGAACGAATGGCTTCTCTATGAGTATTTGCTCTGTTTTCGAAAGCTTACCTCAGTTCTGTCGGCTCTCTGACAAAGCTCGAAAGAACGGCTTGTCGATAGGCATCTATGGCGGTTTTGGTTTTTGCCACGTCCAATATGCTTGTTTTCAGTTGGTATGGCTTGGGTGGATTCGCGGCCCTGGAAACTCCACACGACTCCATGCAGCTTTGCATGTGTCAAAACCATCAGCATTCCCTGCTCATTGTTTCACGAAGGTGTCGTGTTGTGTTTTGCGGTTGCAGGATTGCCTGCCACATCCAGACCCGACCAAAACACAATCGTCCTTGTCGTTCTGGCCCTCAGAGTCCCTGCCGTATGAATCATCGTTCGAGGCAAAGCTGGAACAAGGCCAAGTACACCCTAAAATCCTAAAGCCTACAACCCAAAAATTTAAAGAAAACTCGACAAGTGCAAAGCCTCATTTCCACTCTGCACCCCATAAACCCTAAAATCCTGCTCCCGACGCGCTGTTGGAGCTGTGTTTGTCAGTTTTAGTGCTTGGTCCGCGTCGAGGGTTTAGGGCAAACGGTTTACGAACCCCAGTTGTCAGTACGCCTTTCCCCTTCGAAAACCCAAATACTACAAGTGTGTCCGGCAACCGTTTTCTGACCTCGCAGCCAACTCGAAGCTCTCTGTATTTGGTTACATGTTGAGGTGGAGTGGCATCAACCGTATTGCGCTTGGTAAATACAGCCTCTTGCCCGCATGACAATGTCAACGTAGGACTTGTTGTCCTAATCTAGTGGTGATAGTGGTGGTGCTGCTGCTGACAGCAGCGGCAACAGCAGTTGCATATCGTACTGGAGGTACTAGTCTTTGCAGACGCCTGCGAGCAATACCGCACGTGGGTTCCACGGGCTGTCTGATATGCTTAACAGAAGAGCCTACCTACGGTGACTCTGGCGAGAATGCTGGTTGTGCGTGACAGTTGTCAGCCATTGCTGCCGGATTTCAGCACCAGAGCCAATCAGTTTCTTTCAGACATTACCAAAAAAACAATAAAAAGATGAGGCGAAGAGTCGAAAACAAGGTCTTGTTGAAGTTCCTGCATCCACACCAAAAAACAGACAACATAACTCTGCAGAATGTAGCTGCTGTTGCTCGAAAACTGTCGAGTAAATCGAGATCACCGGGACGTTTGCCAAACCCTCAAACCTAATTGACAACCTGCGGCGTCGTTGGGGCCGGGTGCTCGTTCTTGCAGCAACGGTGGCAGCAGCAGCAGCAGCAGCAGTATGTAAGCAGCAGCAGCAGCAGCAGCAGCAGCAGCAGTCGCAGCAGGAGTAGCAGTCGTCGTGGTCCCCATGCTTACAAACACGCCTTGCCATTGCCACTTTCGTTCTTCTGCCCGATTACCGAGGCCAAGATTCACCGGAAGAGCTTCGACAGGGCCTTGGTCCAAGTATCCTTGGCGACACCCACATCAAGGACACAGGTCAGCGGCAACCGACGAGTCTTCGTCTTTGCCTCAAGGCGTCTTCCCTCCAGAGAGGCGAAGTAACGCGCAAAGACTTCGGCTTGCAGCGTCGCACTCATCACGATCAGCTTCACCTCACGCGACGGCACAAAATCGCCGAAACTCAGAGCCTTCTCTGACGCCACTTCTTCCGCCACAAGTCTGAAAACATGCTCGCGACGACCTTGATGTAGCACTGCATCAGCAGCCTCAGCCTCGGATGGCAACGCGAGTGCATGCTAAACTCCTCGCAGGGTGCCAACATCCAGGCAGCATCGACTGTTGCAAGTCTTCGTAAGCCTTCGCCTAGGAGCAACATTGTCAGTAAGTCAGCATCGACACTTCGTTCATGCACTTCATCGAGGATGATGTGGCTGTAGGTGCCAAACCTTACAAGACGAGCTGAGCATGACCGAATGTCGATCGCAGCCCTGTTCCCTCCCATCGGTCCCAGTGACTCCTCCGGCTGGTTGACGAGCACCTGAAGGAGAAAGCCTGTTGTTGCGAAGCAGAGCTTCCCACTGACGGAATCACCACCTCGGGCATGACTTTCATGTCATTCTTCCGAGATGCGTGCCCGTCTCACCGACAACAATGCTGCTGAGACAACGCCGAGGTACTGATCTTGTACCCGACGGTCTTCCCAATCTCCTCCAAAAACATGGCACATGACTCTTGCAGCCTTCTTTTGTTGAACCACACGCTTTTTGTGGGCCTCGCCGAGCTCGGCCGCGCAGCGGCGGGCGAGGCTCACGGCTGCCATGCGCCGGGGCCTCGGAGACGAAGCCGAGGCCAAGTCAAGGACCCCTCAGGCTTCTGCTTGACATATAATATAACATAGTATAATATAGTATAATATAACATAATATAACATAATGAAATATAATTTTCTATTTTATATATACAATATAACTCAGGGAGCCGACTGCGTGACGACGATCTTCGGCTCCTCCCCGTGCTTGATGGCATCCTCCATGACGTACTTGGGAACCTGCCATGTGCCAGACAGCAACCAGGGGACAGCAGGCTCCCGAGCGTGCCTGGGTGCTTTTGCCACATCCGGTCTCACCTTGAATGTGCGTCACCCGGTAGGTGCGCACATGTTCCAAGATTGCCTTCGCGCCAGCACTGTAAGGCGGATTGCATCAGTACAGGTTACGATGATTGCGCCGTTCTAAAACACAACTAAAACCTCGCAACAGGTGGATCGGCCCAGAAATGCAGAACTCGGTCAGAAACGTCTGACAGCATCGTCTTGCTGCCACTCCAGCACTGGTCTTTCAACGGAGGACCAAACACCATTGCGTCACTATGGGAAACCCGGGCCTCGCGATGCGCAAAAATCGGCAGCCCTTCCAGCTGACTTTGGCCAACCCTCGTTGTCAAGTGACAACATGATATAACATGACAAGACAGGAGCAGTGCAGCTCCTCAGTGACCGATCCTTGTTGTGTTGCGTATCTGAGGGTCGCACACGGAACTTGAAAGACCATTCGCACCTGCAAGTGGGCAATGAACATCCAGCAAGGCAGTAAGATCCAACCAACTTGCACGGCTGAGACCCTCACCTATCCAACAGGTTACGGACATAGAACAGTCAATCGAGGGAAAAGACGAGCTGCCTAAAGCCGTATCATGATTTCAATCATTTGCGCCTGATGGTCGAACCCCTGGCAGATCTGTAGACTTGTTGTCAGCATCTTCGGCCATTCCTGTCACCGCGACATACCTCGGCTCTGCAACACCGCATGCAAATGCTCTCGGTGCCAGATGCTGGGTTCAGCAATCTTGTGGTACTCTTCTCCTCTTCAGAACCATCGTTACTAAGTTACATGCAAGCCGAGCAGCCTGCGCCGGGGTCAAGGAGGCCAGCACCACATGATCTACACTCTACGCTACATCTCACGGACGAGAAAGCTCATACCTTGGGGCTCGGAAGAAAAACTCGCTGCACTAACCATCACCGAATCAAGCTGAGCTGGACTGTCGAAACCGGCTCGTTGCTGAGGGAAAGAGTTGCTTATACTCTGCATGTCGCTTGGAGTCTTGTAGCTGCTGACTGGCTATGTTGCCTTGGAAAAAGCTGCAAAGCACATGCTCAAGCACTGTGACAACAAAAGAGAGCATGAAACGGAGCAAGGGATGGCAGGGAGGCGGCGAGCGAGGGAGGTAGGGAGGGAGGGAGGGACGGGGCAGGGAAAGAGCACAAGAGCAGAAAGGTGCAGGAGGAGCGCGAGAGAGAAGTAAAGAGAGCATCGAAGAACTGGACCGAAAAGGGAGGAGGAAGCAGCGCAACATGCAGCCCAGCCTGGAAACCGTCCAATTCGTCGATGGACCCTCCTTCCCGTCAGGTGCTTGCAGCAGACAGGCAAGTAGGCCCTAAGTAGGCTCAACACCAGAGCCTCTTCCAGCTTCGGCGGGCTCTGAAGATTGTGGGCCATCCTGCTGCAAAGGTGCACATCGCAGAGTCGCAGAGGACAGGGAGCAGCCATTGCATGACGAAGATACGACAAGGCTGTCCTGGAGACCCAGATAAGCAAGCTGCTTCCGAGCAGCATGCCTTGGTCATGACACACAAATATGGGCAACGTTAAAAAAAAAAACAACGCCAGCCCAAGTCGACACTCGGTCTTCGACTGCTTTGGCGGCTTCGCACCCACCAAAAGCTCGAGAGGCGCACCAGGCCTCCGACTTTTGGTCAGAGCTCTCACGAACAATCCGATCGAAGCACTCAGCTCTTGACGTCAGGAGGAAACGTACTGACCTCAGCTTTAGCAACACAATTGAACTGGAACATAAGGTGCTGCCTGCTGGCTCTGCCTAGGATCGCTACGAAAGAGATGCCTCAACCGGACCCAGATTGCGATGCTGGACCTTACGTCTCAACTGGAGTCCACCACATGTCTGTGTGGGTTTTCTTCGCGCCGTGATGCCCCCCGTGTGGTGCGCTCGGGATCTGAGCCTCGGGACATCGTAGGAATGTCCATCGCGAGCTCGGCCCTGCAACACATCCGCGTTGCTTGCGGCTTTTGGCATCTTTCTTAAGCCCGAGAGCTCTCGCTGTGCATGCCCACAACAACAGCCTGCAGGTGGCTCCGACACACGGAGACCAAGCCGCCCGCATCTAGGATGATCCGAAGGAAGCAGATGTAGCCTCGTCAAGTGTTCGATGAGTCACACCGCGGGGCAGCTCCCGACCTTGTTCGAAGCAGACCGAAAGATAACCTCGTCGCCCTCCTCTCGGACGGCCTTGCTTCAGGGCACGGGGCACAAGCCTTCCAGACACCTCTGAAAACTGAGCCCCGGCAACCTTGCGGAAGCTTGCAAACCACCTTGTCCTCCTCACCGGGGTTTCTGTACAACAAGCTCGCTTTTACAAGAACACCACGTTTGCTCGAGCCTGCGAGAACTTGATGCCGGGAAGTACCCCGTCCAAGAAGACCACATTCCCCGACCTGAGCCAGAACATCACCTTATCACTGAACCCGAAGCCCTAACGTCGGCTACGCGGTACACTGCCTGAACCGTTTCTAGGGACTTGCAGGCGACGTCGCCCCGCCTCCTGTAGCCGATTTGAAGATTTTCGGGGGCCGGCAAGTCTGGTTCCAGAGAGAGCCTGGCCGCAGAGATGCACAGGCTCTACATTGAAGGTGAATCTCCTGCTGGCAAATGCTCAACAACTTGGACGACCAGCCATTGTGTATAGACCGGAGTTCACCCACCACTTGCCTTCGCAGAGGCGTCACCAACCAGGCCGCACCTCCCAGCTGCAATCGGGCCTTGGAACACGCGTCGTGCCACGTTTGTCCCCGATTCCGAGGGTCGGTGGGTGCTCTGAGATCCCATGCGACGACTCCGTCACCCTGGGTCAGCGTCACCTGTCGCAGTCTAGGTATCCGAAGTGGTCAGCGCAGACGAAAGAAGAGCCTTGCCATCAACCACGTCCAGTAGAGCAGCACGGTCCTGAAGAGCTCGCACTCAGGTCTACCACGATGCAACGCTACCTGAGGTTCCAGCATACTTCGGTAGATCTTCTCTGTCGGGGCGCTCGGGTGCAGCGAGTACCTCAGAGCTCTGAGCACTATTTTCGACTTTCTGCAGCAGCTCATCGCCGATCCCTCCGGTGTGCAGTGCTGGGGAAGCAGCCAGCGATCGAACCGGCGCGGCAGGGTAGCAGTCCGTGCCTGAGAGCTGTCCGTGCAACTGCATCCGCGACATGCTGTGACCACCCAGAGTCCGAAGCACTGCTGGTCCACAGCCAAAGAACCCACCGGCCACGTGCCAGGCTTGACCTGACTTCCAACAGTGATACCTCCCGAAGACTTGAACAGGTGCGCAAGGGCCGTACGGCTTGTGCACCGCTGATGCCTCCTTGAAGCACCTGGAAAACCATCTGCACCGGGAACGCTGCTCTGCTATCCAGGCCATCTGAGTCAAGAGCAGCTCCAACGCCAGCAGAAAGGACCTCAACTTCACCCGATTTCTCCATAAAAAGGGAGGGGAGGAGGGAGGGAGTAGGGGAGTGGGAGGGAGGGAGGGAGGGAGGGA